TGCTGTGTCAAAACACAGCTCCTGGTTAATTTTTCTTTACGTTCAAGACACACTGAACAGTGCAAATGACTTCAAATATACCCATGGACAAAGAAATAAACAGTTGTATAACATTTGTTGAATTTATTGCAATCAATAAAAAGTATAGTCTGTTGATTCTATAGGAATTTTGATATTGAGTAAGGCTTTGAATGACCACAAATATGACCAAAATAAATTAATAGGAAAATAAAATGGAAGGATAGAGACTGGCAGAGGCAATTTTTCTTTTTAATTTAAAGAAAAAGAGAAATTTTGTGATAGGGAAGAGCGCAGGAGTTACAGATGGCTCTAGGAAATCTTCCTTTCTGTTTCACTATCAGGGCTTGGGCTACAGCTCAGATCAGAAATATTCGGAAGCAGGATGAGAAGACCAAGTTCAATTCTGTAAGAATCTTTAGCTGATGGGCTCATTAGCCTAACAGTAATTTGCATAATTGATAGCATTGTTTCAACAAGTAAGAAATATTGGTGCAGTCCTTACAGCTGCAAACAGACACTAAGCTCTCGTCTTCAGTGCTGACTTCTCTTTGAAACGACAAGGTGATTAAAATAGCCACGGCAGTGGCGCCCGGGTCTGCCCCATTAGAGAACCCCAGTGCCCAGCAGCACCTGCTCCTGCAGTAGGTGTGGTAACCCAGAGAAGCAGCACAGGGAAAAAGTCCTCCGGCATATTTGGTTTAACTGATGCCATCTGCCTGAGAGGACTCATGGACCACGTCTTTGGGTGTAAACACTCCTTGTTCACTGCCTAGTTAATGACCAGTCGTCTTAACAGCTGCCGCAACAACAGTGTCTTTTCAATCAAACACCAGCTTGTTGCTTAACGTTAATCTAAGTTTGAGGAATGGTTAAAATAGTACAAGCAAAATTTTTCACGCCTGTGTTCCCTACTTGCTGTTTGTAGGAATAACCATTGAGGAAACTTTTAATAGCTGTCTTTCCTTTTCCCAGGCATTAGTCTAGATACCATTTCTTTGCAGCTTAATTTAAATATCCATGAATCTGATATTGGAGGGGGTATCTTAAATCTTAAGGACTGATATCTTAAAGGACTGTTTTCTTCTCTTTTTTTCCCATGTGTCGCCTTGCTTATCTAATATTCAAAAACTGCTCCTGGAGAAAAAATGTAGGGAAGATGTTTTGATTATAACAGAAGCTGCTGTTTTTGTTCCAGGAGAAGATGACCAAAGATTCCGCTGACAAGAATCAGTTTATTACATTACAGTATAGCCCTAGATTCCCGGCCATTCGACTTTTACCTAAAACTGTTTTGACTTTCTAAGAGAGGTGATCTGTGTCATCTGAGCTCTCAGACAGGTGAACCCAGACAGCATCCTGCAGCAGGGGCTTCAGGGACGGCACTGACCAGTTTCCCGTCTTCTCCCATCAGAGAGCCCAGGGAGTTCGTTGAGAACTCCGAGTGCGTGCAGTGCCATCCGGAATGCCTGCCCCAGGCCATGAACGTGACCTGCACGGGACACGTAAGGAGCATGTTTAATGTCACCGCACACGTCAGCCGTAGCCCGCAAGGATGACCCTCACCCCCGTCACCCCGTGCCTGCTGGGACGCGCATCCAGCGCACTCCCCGCCCACACTTGGGGCCGTGCCATCTCACAGCCGTCGGGGGCTGTGACTGAGGGGAAGTCAGCACATACCCTGCTGGCACAGGCATTCCCCTTCTCTGTCCAACCCCAGATGCACGTGGTGATGCCCGTCCTCACACCACAGATCAGGGCGCCCTGTGGATGGGGCACACCCACAGGCAGCCTTCAGTGTTCCTGACATCTGTCTTCATTGCTTTATTGTCTTAATCAAACATCACCAAATTCTTATTTAACATGAGTTTATCGTTATTTGAAGAGTTTTTTTTTTTTTTTTCGGTATGCGGGCCTCTCACTGCTGTGGCCCCTCCCGTCGCGGAGCACAGGCTCCGGACGCGCAGGCTCAGCGGCCATGGCTCACGGGCCCAGCCGCTCCGCAGCATGTGGGATCTTCCCGGACCGGGGCACAAACTCGTGTCCCCTGCATCGGCAGGCGGACTCTTAAACACTGCGCCACCAGGGAAGCCCTGAAGAGTACTTTTTAATCGCAAAGGAAAGGTTTTCAAAATTCAGTTTCACATCTACGTGTTCAGTAATAATCTTTTAGAGAGTGTGAGAATGCAGGTCCCTCTCACACCCGTGTGCCCATGTTGTTAATTCTCAGTATTATTTATATGACGAGCTCTGTTTGGATTTGAATTTCAACAGCCATATCTAAATCTAGTCACGGAAAACATTTTTCAGAAGTTCTTTAAATCAGACAAAAGACGGTAAGGCTCAGTTTTGAGGTACAGGCTGCCAAAATGGCTGGTTACAAAGGAAACCACTGGTTTTTAGGTTGGTGTTCGGTTAAATTTTCATCAGTGAAATAAAATAACTGGTCATGTTGACTGACTTAGTCATCTGATTGTTCTGGCTCTGGGAGTACTCAGTCTTTGAGACATGAGAGCACTGAGCCAGCAGGCAGACCCTCCCCTCCCCACGTCATTTCAGCCCTGTGTGAAGTGTGCGGACACAACCGAAGCAGCCCCAATGCATTCATTTCTGTGGGTTTTACCGACGCATTCACATTTGACCAACAGAATCAGATTTAGCATGTTGCACAGTTAATTATGCAGCCACCACTGCACTTACACATGCCACCTTCTCAACACTGGAGAAATGTAGGTGTGGGTTTTCTCAGCTTGGCCTTGGTGAGTACAGCTTCCCACAGAGGCCCCCTCAACTCCAAACACGATTCACAAGGAAGTGCATCTGACCGATAAGGATATAAATATACAGGTAGGCCAATCAAGAATGCTTTGACAAGGAAAGATGCCCACAGTGTATCGAGTAAAATGTAATGAAGCACATAGTACAGTTTCTTTCATGTTATATATATATATATATATATATATATATATATATGTATGTATGTATGTATGTATGTATATAAAGTACACATTTAAAGTCAAGAAGACTTTATTCTCAGCTGTGAACAGTGGTCACATCAGGCAAGCACAGTCACGGAAGAGCTTATCCACTTTAAGAACTTCCACGTCGTTTGATTTTTTTTCATGATAAGCATTTTAAGTAAAAAATTACTTCATTCTGGGGGTTCCCTGGTGGCGCAGTGGTTGAGAGTCCGCCTGCCGATGCAGGGGACATGGGTTCGTGTCCCGGTCCGGGAAGATCCCACATGCCGCAGAGCGGCTAGTCCTGTGAGCCATGGCCACTGAGCCTGCGCATCCGGAGCCTGTGCTCCGCAACGGGAGAGGCCACAACAGGGAGAGGCCTGGGTACCGCCAAAAAAAAAAAAAAAAAAAAAGTTACTTCATTCTGAAAAAGAGAGAGACGTAAGTAAATGTTTGATTTATGAAACGGTTTTTCCACCTTGGTGCAGGGACCAGGCAGCTGTGTAAAGTGTGCCCACAACATCGACGGCCCTCACTGCGTCAAGACCTGCCCTGCTGGAGTCACAGGAGAAAACAGCACCCTGATCTGGAAGTTTGCAGATGCCAATCACGTGTGTCACCTGTGCCACCCCAGCTGCACCTACGGGTGAGTGCAGGAAGCTCTGGGTCTGCAAAGGGAAAGGCAGAACAGGGTGCTTCCCATCTTGCAAATCTGTAGATTGAAAATGTCTCCGGACTTCCCCGTCAGTCAAGTACAGAGGTTTGTATTTGAGTCAGTTCCTCCAGGTGTTCTGGACCCACGGCCACGGCAGCAGCAATGATACGCTCGTGGGCAGATCATGGTGCTGGTGGGAGAGCCTCTCAGCCTCTCCAGGTGTGTCTTGTGCCAGGGCCCTGTTCTGCAGTGCCAGCATGTCCCAACAAGAAGAATAAGGGATGGGGGAACGAGAGCAGAGGTCCTGCCCCGTCCCCAAAGGTGTCTATGTATATATATATATATCTTTCCAGATGACTGGGATTCCTGTGGGAATCTTTTATTGGTTTACAATCAATAGAAGATAACATTGCCTGGAATGTTGCCTAAAGGTGCTTTTTCGTTTAGCTAGTTGATTGCTAAGCTGTTAATAGGGAAATTAAAACTGTTTTGACTGTAATTAGTAGAAGCACTCAGAATGTATATATCTTATTTACTAACATGATAAATTTGACAATGAAACTGGACTACTGGAAATCAGAAGGAGAAGTCCCATATATTTCACATTCCCTTCTATCTCTCATAATCCTCAACTTTATTTGGCACCGTTACTCTTCTCTGGAGCCATCTCTTACTAGCTGTGTGGACTTGGGGAAGTGTCTTAACCTCTCCTTGCTTCACTTTCTTCACCTGTAAAATTAGGATAATAAGACTGCATTGCTCACAGGATTTTTGAGACCTTGAGGTAATACGTGTACTGTACTTAGAATAGTGCGTGGACCACACGAGCACTCAATCAGTGACTGCACAGATGGTGGTGCGGAGCTGGTGACGAGGTGGCAGTAACGATGGTGGCGGTTATAATGCTGGTGAAGGAGGTAACGGTGCCAGTCCTGCTGGTAGTGACGGTGGTAATTACGACCGTGACAGTGATGGTTAGTGTTCTGAAGGGGTGCAGAACCTTCCAGTTAGACTTCTAAACATCAGGATTCTTGAAAATTTTCCGAGTATGTCCTAAGTTTTTACAAAAAACCTATTTTAACTGCATTTATATGGAAGAGCCTAGGCCTGGAGACAAGTGATTTGGGAATGACTGGTACCCTCGGCAAATTCCATCGTTTCACCTTCCTTCTTGAGTTTCAGCCATCATGAGGGTAAATGGAAGGGCTCCATCATTCCATGACCCCGTGGTCCAAGAGTTTCAGTCCCAGGCAGCTGACTCCCCAGCTAACATGTAGGAAGCCTGGGCATTTCCTGTGTTGTTTGCATGTGACTGTCTTCTCCTTCTCATCTTAGTCTAAGCCATTGGTGTGTTGCAAGTGACCTGGAATATTTTTCACACACACACACACACACACACACACACACACACACACACACACACACAAACCCCGCTAAAGCCAATTAATTAATTTGAGTAGGGCTAACATTTTTACAATATTTTGTACTCCCAGTCAGGAAATGATAATTTCTTCATACATTCAGATATTCTTTTTTATATTTCAGTAAAGTTTTAGTTGTGTTCTTTCATGTTCTGCCTAAACATTTTGTATTTATTTTTGCTACTGTGAAGTGGACCTTGTTTTCTAGTATATCTTCTCATTTATTATATCTAATATATAAAATAGCCTTTGATTTTTTTTGGCAGAGGTGTATATTCATCTCGTATTGGTGTTCTCTACTGAACTTCCTTTGAAATTAGCGTTTTAGTTCATGGTCTTGAATTTTCCAGGAAAACAATTATATCATCTCCAGTAATGGTATCTGTATCTCTTTTCCAAAAGTTTCAAATCACATTGCAAGGGCCAGAATTTCTAGAATAATATCAGATACAATGGTAGTGGACATGAGAATTTTATATCTGATGGTGGTGGGAATGGCTGTAATAAATCACCATTAAGAACAATATTTGCATTAGTGTGAGATTCTTATTATCTTGTTAAAGAAAAAGTTATCTATTCCTACTGTTAAACTCTTTTTTTTAAAATCCAGAATGAATTCTGAACTTTACCAAATACCTCCTTGGTAGGAATTTCAAGATCTTTCATCTTTTTCCCTTTGGGTATACCAGCACACTGGTTATATTGACCACTCTGCAAACTCTACAAAACACAGTATAAACTGTAATTTGCTAGTTTTTCACTTGGTCTGTTTTTTTCATATTCCCCAAAATAAGCTATTTCGGAGCAGATTCTCTAAAATAGAATTATGCTACCTATATAAAATAAATATATTTTTCCTGTTTTTTCTATCTTTGGGAAATAAATGTGTTTCTATATGTGTGTGTGTCTGTGAGCATATAGCATTGGTAGAAAAATATGTAGTTTTCCATAATCTTGTTATTACTATCTCTATCTTCTCCCAAAGGAATTACGTACTAAAGATGGATTTAATTTTTTAAATATGGAGAAATATTGATGAGGTGAGGGGAAATAAACATTTCTTTTATTGTGTATCCGTGATGTGCACAGCATCATCAAACACATAGTCTCAACGATGACTAAGAGTGAACGCGCTGCTTTCCCCATTTGTATTGTTAAAGAAACACTTAGAAAGGCTCTGGGGTCACCACGACTCATCAGCCAGCAGTGACAAAGCCCAGGTTACAGGCGCATGCTTGCTTCCAGAAGCCGTGCCCTTCCCACAGGGCAGGTCTGCTTACCCCAGGGAATGGGTCAGCAAACTGGAAGCAAATCCACTTTTTTCTTTTTTATTTATTTATTTATTTATTTATTTATTTATTTATTTATTTATTTTGGCTGCGTTGGGCCTTCGCTGCTGCGTGCGGGCTTTCTCTAGTTGCGGTGAGCGGGGGCTACTCTTGGTTGCCGTGCACGGGCTTCTCATTGCGGTGGCTTCTCGTTGCGGAGCATGGGCTCTAGGCGTGCAGGCTTCAGTAGCTGTGGCTCGCGGGCTCTAGAGCTCAGGCTCAGTAGTTGTGGCGCACAGGCTTAGTTGCTCCACGGCATGTGGGATCTTCCCAGACCAGGGCTCGGACCCGTGTCCCCTGCATTGGCAGGCGGATTCTAAACCACTGCACCGCCAAGGAAGTCCGCAAATCCACTTTTAAACGGAACCACATTTTATAGTAAGTCATCAGGGGATGGTTTCTTTGAAATTTTATGCCCATAAATTAAACGAAATTTTGCCTACTTTTATTACGTGTAACAAAAAACTAAATCAAGTGGGAGACAAGGAATAATTTTTCTGACAAAATTAAACGATAGCATGATATGGCCTCTTTTGCTTGATATTTGACAATCATTTCTGCAGAATTATGCAGGGCACCATCAGCTTTCCCAAGGACCCCTTAATCCTTTGATACTCAGGTGGTTCCCTCTTAGGGCACCTGTCCAGTCACTACCCTTGTCCATCAGCTCTTCAAATGTAAACTGGCCGAGCTCTCTCTATGAGTGTCTCCCTTGTCCATAGCTTCTTGCTAGAAACCCCATAGGTTTCCCAGCAGCACTTTCAGAGGCTGCATGAAACCCTGCTTCTTGTCCAAATTTTGCAATTCCAGTTTGCACCACTATGCATAGAGTTCCCATTCTATTACGGTCTGGAAACTAAACAGGCATTATGGGAAAATATAAAAACACTAGTGAGGAGGGCTGTTTTGAGGAGGGGTTAATTTTACCAGTGGTTATCCATTAGAGAATGTTGCCTCTGATGATGATCCTAGGAGATAAAAGATTGTGAAAAAAGGAGAACTCCTTGCGTGTTCCACTGCCTGAAGAAGCCTGTGTCGGGTGTAGGGGTGAAGGTCCTAAAGCTTGCAGGGCCGAGACTGCATTGTCTGATGCCACGGAAAAGAGGTCTCAGACCTTCAGAACCAAGAGGAGTAGAGTACAGAGATCAGAGCCCTTGGAATGAGACAGAAAATGATTAGAACCAGTTGACAGTGCACATCTAATAAGCACTGGTCCCCTCCACATACCTGAACCAGGCTTCGTCATCGTTCCCCAGGCCGTGAACATCAGTCCTCTCCATTTAACTGGAATATTTTATTTTCCTGTTGACGTTTTTATTGACAAACATTGCTGTCCTTCAAAGCCAACTTAGTCTGCCTTTTCAACCATCATCCTGTAATCAAAATAACAGATGGTGGTGCCCCACAGAATGGGAACCCAGCTGCTGAGGGGTCACATTAGGACAAATGATGTCGCTGCTTGACGTACAACATTGCAGTTGTGTGGAAGTGGATGGAGCCAGCCCCTGGCTTTCTGGGTCTGAAATCATCGTCCCCGTTTCCCTGCCCCTGAGATGAATGTCCTCACTCGTCTGTCCCACCCCCGCTCCTTAATCAGTGTGCCCCAGGAAATGGTTCTGGTCTCAGCTCCCTCTACCTCCTGTCCACATTGATGTTCTAGAGCCAGCTGTGGGCTCGCTGAACCTCTGTCAAATGGAAGACATGAAAACATGTCAATAATGGACACCAGAAATGTCTACTTTGTTCAATGCTAGAACAATCCCTATCACAAAGTAGACACTCAAGAATACTTGCTGGGTCAATGAACAAATGAATAAATGCATAATAAACAAGGGCTTAAGCAATACTGAGACGCACTGTGATTGTAATGATTTGAAAGTCATTTAACACACATTGCCTTATGATTTAATAAAAACTCTCTAAGAAAAAGTGCTAAAGAAGTAAAATGATCGAAATGTGTATTTCTCTTTCAATTCCTACAGCTGTGCTGGGCCAGGTCTTGAAGGCTGTGCAGTGAGTGGGTGAGTGTGACACTGTATGTGATGACCTGATCAGAAATGACCGAGAGTGCTATGGGCGAGGGTAGTGCTTTCCTTCTTTTCCGACTGCCCTCTGCCTTGGCCGGTTCTCACTTCACCCTGGGCCAGCCTGGGCATCCCTAGCAGAGCTCACCCTGCCCACGCTGCTGGCTGTGCTTTGGGGCCGGGGGGAGGGGGGGTGAGGGGGAGGGCAGGACAAGAGCGCTGGGCCCCTCCACGCGGAGCCAGCCTCACTGCCCAGCGCTTCTGCACGCAGCCCTGCTCCCTAGGTCGCCAGGGTTGTTGTTTTCCTCCTCCAGCTTCCCTCCTCTTTCCTCGCTGACCCAGTTGGCCCTACCACACACCTGGGTTTGAATGACCTGTCTGTTCAATGACAGAGCTCCACCTTGGGAGAATGTCTCCCCTTACTTCCTTTCCTAAACACAGGACTTCCTTCAGCATTTCAGTTGTGATCACTCTGCCGTCATTGCCTGAAATGCTGCACAGAGAAAAGCAGAATTAGGACTTCCTGTTCAGACTCATCAGGAAAGAGCGATTTTATCAATTAATAATGTCTATCGAAGAATCAGAATTATACACAAGACACTGACCAGATATCCCCAAACAGCAGCCAGACATCCAGGAACCTCTGCCATCTCCAGTAATGTTTACAGAATTCCTCCCCCCAACAACCTTCCTCAATGCCGGTCAGCTCAGTCTCTTGCCGAAGAATTAGCCAAGATAACTGATCCCTCCTGCTATCAAGTGAGACGTTAAAGACAAATAGGGCAGTTTCTCAAAGATAAAAGATTTCCTTTTACGCCCCTCTTCACTCGAGCCACAGGACACCAGCAAGCTTCGTCCTCTCTTCGTGCTTCAATCAGCGTCTTAGTAATGAGGTTTTCCGTCACATCCCCACCCTGAAACCAGTCAACGGCCATTCTTTGTTATATTTACCCTTTTAATTTTTTTCTTCTCTTTTCACTCCCCCTACTTCCCATGGAACACATACTCTGTACAAATTATTCCTTATATCTTTCAGTGTCCCCTTCAAAATGGTAAAAACCCATCAATTCAAACTGCGTTAACTGGGAAGATGGTATAACTCAGGAGATGACTTTTGCACTTGCTAAGAAGAAAGTGTCATAAATACTATTTACGTGAAGTGCATTTGACCCACTTACGAGAAATCCGTAAGAACGCTGGCACATTTTTTTAGGCGCAAACGGTGCTACTCATTCATCTTTGATATTCGTTAACATTTCTACCTGAAAATATGAAGTTTGCCAGAAGCTTAGATGGCACAGGTGCTGGAGAATAAAAGCTTTATGAAGATTCTAAATTCAGAATCTACTAATTCAGACGGTTCTTTCCCCGTGAGCTTTAGAACCTGAGTTGTGGGTGTTTGCTGTCCCCGAGCTCTATGGGGGGAGGGGTGGCTGCAGGATGACATCACTTATCCATGACAGTTCTGCTGTCCGTGTGGGAATCCTGTCACTTCCTCACCCCCTCCACACTCATGCTACAGCACTTCCTACGGCTCTGGTCCCATCTTGAAAGCCCCGGACCCCTCGGGAACTTTCCACAGGTTTGAAAGGGTCCGTCCTTCCAGCCTGGCCAGCAGACATCGCAAGTGTCACGTGCGGAGGGCGTGCCTCAAACGCGCGGAGAGCCACACAGATTCATATGAAAAGCATGACTGAACTCTGAGTTACTTTTTAAATGATGTGTTTTCTTAATCAACAGATGAAAAGTATGATCCTATAGGGAGAAGTCCAAATGATACCTCAGTGTAAAACATGCGACAAAGCAGGCTCCTATACTGAAGGAAGTTGGAAACCCTGCCCTGGGGCTCCAAGTCCGCCCTCCTTTCTCCTTTATGAGCTGCGCCGTATTCCACTTTCTGAGCTAATGAGCCTAAATGACATCATGCTATCAGAACGTACGGGAAATATGTGAAACGCCAAGGTAACAAACCTCACCCCTTTGCGTGTCCACCTCGTTCCAGGCCCAGGATTCCGTCCATCGCCACCGGGATCGTGGGCGCCCTGCTGCTGGCCCTGGTGCTGGCCCTGGGGGTCGGCCTCTTTCTGCGCAGGCGCCGCATCGTCCGCAAGCGCACGCTGCGCCGGCTGCTGCAGGAGCGCGAGGTGAGCGCGGCGCGCGAGGGGGCGGGGAGGCGCGGCAGCCCGAGGCTTGACTTTTGAAGATGTATTACTGTGCTCTTTTTATCGCGAGGAAAAAGTCGGAAGAATCTCTGAATGTCCAGTTATAAGCAACTACATGCACATGTTAGTACTTGTATCCAGGGGAATGCAGCTGTGTCTAGGGTAAGTCCCACGGCAGGTTACCAAGCCGGGGCGCCCGCTGCCCACGTGGGGCGGGCGCTCGGGCCGGCCAAGGGGAAGGCTGGTAAGCAGAAATGTGAGCTCAGGAGGTGTTACTTTGGAAAATGCCATTGTCCACACCAGCGGCTGCTTCTTTTGGAGCCACGTTTGTGACCGTGTTGTCCGTGATTCCTCAGCCGGCATCCGTGTCCGACGTGTCAGAAGCCAGAGGCCCTGGGAAGAGGAACCCACCGCAGCTACAGCAAAACGGCTGTGAGGGGCCCGACCGGTTAGCAGAGTGACCACCACAGAACACTGCCCTTCCCCAAGTGTTCTCGGCCCGGACACAGAAATAGAAATTGCACTTATTGCAAAGGAGCTGTTCTGTTCAAGGATGCCTTTTTTTTGGGGGGGGGGGGC